TATATATATTGGTAAAAGATTTTTATTGAAACATGAGTTAAGGACAGAATATTTAATAGGAAAATCACATACAAATATACATATTACAACTAATAACTTAAGCTTTAAATTAAATCTCTTCAAAGCTTTACGTAAGTCCATAAGTTCGCTACACTAAGATTTTCAAAACCAAAATTATAAAGTGTTTAAGTTGTTTTAAACAGCTACCAGGCTTCTTAAACAGTTAACACCATTTTAGTTACTGCATATTTCACCCCCGTTTAAAATAATTACTTGTCTTTACAAAACACATTTTTAGTAACACAGATGAAACATTACACACATTACTATGGAAACTATTAATTTCACAATGTTGTTGATACTGCAGGGTAACACCAACACTTAAAGCATGTATGATTGCCAAAATATTAATCAGATTTAGAGGAAAAAAGGCACTGTATCTGAACAGTGAGTAGGAGCAATACACACATGAATCAAAATCAGTCAAAATAACTTCTTCTGATGAAATGATGTGTTAAAACAAGACTTCGTCAAGTTTTCATACCCTTACACAAACTACAATTTAAAGACACTTAGATGAATATTAGGTTAATTTGGTTATAAAAATTTTGTATCTGTTGCTTGATGTTTTCTTCAAGGCTTGAGCATAATATAAAACAGGATGATGATGTTTTAACAAAAGCTAGAGCTTTGTGTGGTTAACATAATATAAAACAGGATGATGATGTTTTAACAAAAGATAATTTAGGATAACTTTTGATGTTTTAACAAAAGCTAGAGCTTTGTGTGGTTTTATCCTGTTTTATATTATGCTAACCACACAAAGCTCTAGATTTTGTTAAAACAATATCATCCTGTTTTATATTATGTTAACCCTACAAAGCTCTAGCTTTTGTTAAAACAACATCATCCTGTTTTATATTATGTTAACCACATAAAGCTCTAGCTTTTGTTAAAACAATATCATCCTGTTTTATATTATGTTAACCACATAAAGCTCTAGCTTTTGTTAAAACAACACCATCCTGTTTTATATTATGCTAATGAAACAAAGCTCTAGATTTTGTTAAAAGGGGAAAATAAGACATATAACAGGCTCAAATTAAAAATATGTTCAAAATTAGATTAATGGATGGTACTAGCTTGGGGCAAGGACATACATAAGGAGGCTTTGTCCCCACTAGTGCCAACTGTATGAGAAAATATGAAAATAAATAATCTATCATAGTGTAATAACAGCAGTCCTATTAAGATACTGGATACTTTTGAACCCAGCATTCTTAAGGATTATATTTATAAAGATACTGGATACTTTTGAACCCAGCATTCTTAAGGATTATATTCATAAAGATACTGGATACTTTTGAATATTTCTTGTAATCAAATCTGCAATCTGATTGATTTGAACTGCCATATGGGTGAGTTTGGAATTTTGTTGAAACTAGAGTTTTCAAGATTAATTGGTAGATTGTTTCCATCTTTCCTAAGGTGGAATCGTTATTCTCAATTCCAACATTATAAGAGTCTTGTGTCTACTGTTTTTGAAGTCAAGAGCTGGTCACTATGTACGTTTCTTAGGTAAATGAGATATGTTTCTCTTAAAATCCTGCAGCAGTGCAATGTGTATATTTATTCTGTTAAACCATTGGAGTAGGTTGTTATATATAAAGATACCCAACTATGATGCATCTGAACAAAAGTTTTCTTTTTATCTCAAGGTTTGTTCCAATCTTTTCAAACTGTCAGAAAGACCAACATATACTTGGAGTGAACAGAACGTTTTTTAATATACTTACGATTTTTTACAGTTGCTAGACTTAACCAAGAGTTTGTTTGTTTTGAATTGTGTGCAAAGCTACACGAGGGCTATCTGCACTAGCCGTCCCTAATTTAGCAGTGTAAGACTAGAGGGAAGGCAGCTAGTCATCACCACCCACCGCCAACTCTTGGGCTACTCTTTTACCAACAAATAGTGGGATTCAAATTCGATGACGAGGAACCCACTTTGAGACTAATAATGCTTGGAGACGGCTTGAATTGGTCACATTATAACGCCCCCACGGCTGAAAGGGCGAGCATGTTTGGTGTGACGGGGATTCGAACCCGCGACCCGCAAATTGCGAGTCGAGCACCCTAACCACCTGGCCATGCCGGGCTACCAAGGGTGGTTGAGGCAAAAACTTTCACTGAGTTTAAGAAAAGATTGGATGAATACATGAGTAATAAGGAGTGGTTATAGTTGGAAAGTAGAAGGACATTCTTGATGGGATAATAAGCTCCTTTTTGTCTCTTTAAAATTTTATGAATTTATAAAGCTTTAAGAATATATTTGATCCCCAAGCTGTCATCAGATTATTATCCGCCAGTGAAAATAAATATTCTTACATTACAACTGATTGAGTCCAGTACTAGTTGACATTCTTTGATCGCCACAAATGGCCAGGTGGTTAGGGCACTCGACTCGCAATGTGAGGGTCGCGGGTTCTAATCCCCGTCCCACCAGACATGATCGCCCTTTCAGCCGTGGGGGCGTTATAACGTGACGGTCAATCCCACCATTCGTTGATAAAAGAGTAGCCCAAGAGTTGGCGGTGGGTGGTGATGACTAGCTGCCTTCCCTCTAGTCTTACACTACTAAATTAGGAACGGCTAGAGCAGATAGCCCTCGTGTAGCTTTGCGCGAAATTCACAACATTTACTGATCACAAAATCAGCGTTGACTTTGCTGTCTTAACTTGACATCTGACCATTTTACACTCGTAAACATTTCTTATTTAGAATTTTAATGCTGTAAGCTTTGCTTTAATAATCTCCTATATCAAATGAAACGATCCAGTTTTTATCTGGTTTTAGAGCTTGAAGGACGAAAAAAAATAAAAGAACTAAGCTTTAGATGCAAATGTATTTATGCGAGTTTTATTACTGTCTTATATTTAATTATTTCAATTCTGAGAATA